AACAATGTGGCGTCGGCTGCTTTTTGGTTGATCGAAGGTGGTGCTGAGAACCTTTTATTTGAGCAAAGTAACCTGGGCAGACCATGATTACAAAATATTGTTTACAGGTCTGGGCGGACCACGACTACAAAATATTACTTATAATATCTAATTAAATGTTCTGAGTTCCATACCCGATCGATCATCCTTGCAGATGTGTGGACTTGTAGGTCCTTTCCGCCAATCTTTTTGCATGCTTTTACGTAACAACTGCGTGCTGCTCGCTGGTCTCCTCTGACGACTCCTATCCCACTCGGAGTAGGGAACTTCATACACACGTGTTCCACCGACACTATGGCCTTGAGGTCCTCCAGTGCCGGTCTCCCCAAAATGATGTTGTGCACACAAGTGAGTCTTACCACGATGAATTCCACGTCAAGTTTGCGAATGTTAGAGCTCGTGCCTATCTCCACTGGTAAGACCACTAACCCCTCCGTCTCCACTGAATCACCCGTAAATCCAGAGAGTGGGGTACGTACTTCTTTGAGCGGGTTCCTAGGTATCCCTAACTTGGTGAAGGCATCGTAATACATCACATTGACTGAGCTTCCCGTGTCGACTAAGATGCGGCGGACAATGACATTGTTGACGTCCATCTCAATCACCAAGGCGTCATGATGGGGTAACGGGCCCTCTGGGAGGTCATCATTAGATAAGGTGATGGCCTCCTGTCTCTGTTTCTCTTCTCTAGGAAGACTCACCACTTCTCCCACGTATAGCTGTCGGCTCCACTTCTTTCTTTCCGCAGGCGTGTCACCCCCTGCGGGTCCACCATAGATAAAGTATATGGTGTGCTTCTTTTGTCGTCTGGGCGCCACCTCGATTTCTTTCTCGCTATCATTCTGCTCAGATATTTGGTCGTGTTCTCTTTTTTTGGCGTTCGAGGTTGACGGCTCTGTGCCATCCTCATTCCTCCAGACATTTTTTGGTGGATTGTGTTGCGGCTGTTGCTGCTGCTTGGATCGTTTGACGAAATGTCGGAAGTAGCCCTGCTGGATGAGTTATTCTATTTGTCTCTTCAAAACGTGATATCCGTATCGTGGCCGGTTTGCCTATGAAACCTGCAGTACTTTGTTTGGTCCGCCTTCGAGGAGACCTTCATGCACTCCTCGGGGAATTCTATCATTCCCATCTCCTCAGCTTGCTTTAGAATGACACTGACGAGTTAAATTATGCAAGGGGACCAGGCGAGGTCGTTCATGGTCTCGGCCTTTCCCTGCGGTCGGGTGGTTCGAGAGTGGTGCCTGGCTAGGCGGACCCGCTTTCCCAGGCTTCCCACCTTTCCTACCATCCTCTTCGTCCTTCTTCTTCCTGTCGACGTCCTCTGCTTCGGCATAGCGGCTAGTCATCCTTATCAGATCTTCGTAAGAGCGGGGGTGGTGGGCGTTCAGCTGCTTGTGGAAATACCCTGATCTTAAGGCATGGATAAATATCGGGATCGCCGCCTTGGAGTCGATGTCGTAGACATTATTAACTTCATTTTTCCATTTTATCAGGAAGTCTTTGAGGCTCTCGCCTCTATCTTGCTTCACTACACAGAGGTGAGAGAAGGGTTTCTTACGTTGTATGCTACCGGAGAAGTATGTCAGGAAGCTCTTGGACAACTCCCAAAAGTTTTGGATCGACCCATCCGAGATGGTGTTGAACCAGTCTTGGGCCGCTCCTGTTGGAAATTAGTGAATAAATCGATACACAAAATATATATAAAAAATATATATTTGTCCTGAAAGATGGAATTTAATTTATACAAAATTAATTCCAACTAATTTTGGTACGAAACCAAAATTACATACATATATATATACCTCGTATATATATTAACTAACTAGGGATTTATTTTATCAAAATAATCCCACTACAACTAGTACGAAACTAGTACACGGGACTTAATTTTCACGAAATTAATCCCACCACAACTAGTACGAAACTAGTACAAGGATTTAATCTATCCGAGATTAATCCTACCACTTGGTCCGAAACCAAGAACAAAAATAAACAAGAGACGGGTTTCTAACCTGAGGTTTAACCCAATGCGAAGAAACAAGAAGAAGCAGATGAAGCCCGAGTCGTGTGTACACACACTCTCCTTAAAACCGATTCGCCACCTCCCGAGGGTGCTAGGATCGTTGTGGCGTCAGTCTCCCAGGATAAAACGGACTACCACTTTGGCGTTCGAGCACTCCAACCCAAAGCCCGGCGAACTAGAACACAAGTTGAGCACTCCGATGTTTTATGGAATTATGTTGGCAAACAATTTTCTCTTTTGAAATCAGGGAGATTAGAGAGAAAAACAATGGTTTTTTGAGTTTCAAAAAAAAATGGTGTAAAAACATTATGCCAACATAACAAGCTATTTGTAGGAAAAGAGGAATTAAGTAGCATTATAATGGCCATTAACCAACATAAATCCAAGATTTAATAATTGGATAATAACGTTTGAAACGGTCGTAATTATTATCGTAATAATTCCAACGGTCACGAACTTAATACGCGATTAATTCGTACCGACCACTACGACCTGTTTCAAAATATCTGAGTGACCGAGAAGTCTGTACAAACCCGAAGGTTTAACGAATTGGGACCGAAAACCACACCCGAGTGGTCCACACGCACCGAAACGGTGCAGCACGAATCAATGCATATAGCATTGACTCATGCTCACCGAATCCATAGCACGAAAGGTGCCTAAGCCAAAGATTAATAAAAATCAAGGCACCAAAACCAAAGCTTACAATTAAACTTTCAAGTTTCGTGCAGCATCTTTCGTCCATGCATGAAGGCATAACACGAAAGTACACTTCCCAATTCACTAATCAAGCTTTCAAAAGCTTAATTACCACTTAACCTTTTACCAAAGCCTAATTACAAGCATTCTTTCGTGAATACTAAGTAATTAGCATCAAGATTAGTGCTAATCTTAATTAGCCACTAAACAATAGGTTTAAGTTGTTGACTTCTCTCAAAATAGGTTCACTTTGAGAATCAATTTCTCATTCACCTATTACCCATTTTGAGCGTACATTATATCAAATTCTTCGTCTCACTACGAAGAACCCGAATCCACTTTGACCCGACCCAAATCGGAAGTGGACCCACATATATTTGTACCACAAAATCATCACTCAAAATGCCATTTTTAGCTAAAAATTCCAACACATCCAGGGTGGACAAGAACGCTCGGCACATGATGGCGTCCCCTGCCCCGATCATTACCATAGCAGCCTTGTACCTCGTCATGTGGACACGTGGGTCAGTGACCCCCGTGTACTCCTTGATGACGGGCAACCTAAAGTCCCTTGGCAAAGGTACGTCCATGATGCTTGGAGAGAATGGTGTTGCCATCCGTACCTCGGGTTCCGGCGACTGCTCCCGTGCCTCCACCCTTCTTGCTAACTCCTCGATTCTTCTCTGCAGCCTCTCGACCAGGGCCGACTCGTCAGGGTGCCGGCGCGGGGCCGGCTGCCGTTCCTCCAAGTGTCGGTGTGGAACCCGGTCATCAACGCGTCGCTTCCCAGCCGAGTGCCGGTGCGGAACCGGCTCTTCGACGCGTCGCTCCTCCAAGTGTCGACGTAAGGCCGACTCATCAACGTGTTGGCGTGAGGTCGGCTCCCGAGACTCGCCCACCTCCTCTGTGGGTGATCTCTCGGGTTCTCTGTTTTCATGTTGGCGAGGGTCTCTGGTAGAGGACCCCTCGGCCCGTGATCCTAATCTTTGCCGCACGGGCGCCTTCTGTCCCAATCGTTCTGGTGCAGATTGGGAAGGGCCTGGTTGTCGTCTGGCCGGTCCACTTCTTTGGGTCTCCACCCCTATTTCCTGGGGCCGCGGGAGCACTTGGCCTTGCAGTCCCACCGCCACCTGATTTAGCGCCGTCGTCACTACTTGCTGAATGACATCGGCGGCCGCCTGGAGGTTCACGGCTTGGTTCACCCCTCTATTGTTGAGTTGGTCTCGAAGGTCCCCGGGCCTCCCGTTGTTGAGCTGTTCTCGGATGTCCCCTCCGCGATTGTTGGTGAGTTGGTCCCGGAGGTCACCTGAGGCATTGCCATTGTTCACGTTGCGGGAACCGTGGGAGCTGCGGAACACCATTCTTTCAAGCTTGCTGTTGAAAGAGGAAAAGATTTGTGTGTGTCGTCGCCTGCTTGAGTGTTGGACTCAGGCTCTCAATGAAAGCACCAATGACGGTAATAATATTATAATAACGCTATGAGAAAGTAACAATAGTTGTATTGCTTTCGTCTCAGTATAGAAAATACAGTGTCTTTGTCCAGAGTATTGAACGTCCCCCTCCAAGCTGAGGGGAGCCCCTACTTATACAAAAGCTGCTAACGGTAACAACATGAAGCATAAATGGGGAGCTAAGCCTTTAATTCTCTCTCATCAATGGTGACTTCAATGGCAGTAAAGGTGACCGTCGTTGGAATTCTGCCCGTTGGAGTTTTGCCCGTTGGGTTTCCATATGGTATCGGGTCAGATGCTGCTTATGATCCGGATCGGGTGCCAGCACCATTTCATGTGGTGTCGGGTCAGATGCTACTTATGATCCGGATCGGGTGCCAGCACCATTATCCTGTCAAAAAGTATTCTAACAATTGTACATTAATTTATCAGTTCATCGTGAATTGGTGGACTCCATTCAGCCATTATGTCATCTCTCGATCCTAAGATAGATACCCCGAGTGCAAAACTGCAATATAATTGACGAGTATAAATAGCAAAATGTTAGATACGATTTAATACAAAACATTCTTTCTATCTCCAAATAATCAGCAAATCAAACATTATTATTGTCCTGTCAGAATGTTTTTTTTTACAAAATACTCCATACATAGAATTTATCGGCAGAAGTAAATAATATGCAAACGTGTCAAACTGTTATTGGTTTCCCCACGTAGCTAGTTGTCCCTCTACCCAACTGCATGAGCTCTAATGACTAATATGGCGTCGTGTCGCCCCAAACGCCTCTCTCAATCTCCGCTAAAACCACACTCCTGTCTCTCTCTCTCTCTATATATATATATTATAACAGAGGCGGTGGGTGGTGAAAATGGGTCACAAGGGAAGTTCTTCGGCCGCGAGCACGTTGTTTGCATGGGTGAGGAGGCAGTCGATGAAGGTGAAAGTTTTCCTGGCGGTGACGGCGGCGGTGGCTACACTGGTGGCGCTCAAACACTCCGTCAAGGACCACAACCACTTCTTCGTCGCCTCAGAAGCCATCCATTTCACCGGCATTTTGGTCTTGATTTACAAGCTCATCCGCAAGAAAACTTGCTCCGGTAACTAACTCTCTTTTCACTTGATTTTACCGGATTAATCCGTATATATATATTTTTAATTTTATATATACGTCTATTACATGTTTTCGATTCTAAAATTTTGAATTCAAGTTTAACCGGTAGAGTTGAGTTGAACTAAATCCACATTTTCATATCTGTCTGCTGCTATATATATGTTCTTCAATCTTATGTTACCAATAGTTTTCCAATTTCGTTAATAAAGTAATTTCACTAGCATTGATTTTAAGAACTATATATGATTTTGTATTGGTTGATTATAGGCAGAAGAATTGTATGATACTGTGCCAGAGATTTTCCAGAAGTTATTGTGATCATAGATGATGAAGAATAGTTTTTAGCTTTTGAGTTTATGACTATATATATATATATATATATATATATATATATATATATATATGAGTTCTTATTCTCAACTGTTGTTTAGTTTAATTTTCTCCAATTGTGTACAGGACTCTCACTCAGGACTCAGGAGATCACAGCTTTGTATTTAGCTATAAGGTTGTATTGCAGCTTTATTATGGAAGCTGACATACACACAGTGCTAGATTTTGTCACTCTTGTGTCTACTCTGTGGGTTATGTACATGATAAGATTTAAGCTGAAGTTTACCTACATGGCTGGGATGGACAGCACACCCATATATTATATAGTAAGCAAATTAACTTTTCCCCCCTTCTCAATATTTTGATTGATTCGTTTTGGATGACGAGAGAAACTCATAACTACTACCCGGAGGTAAATCAGAGTAGGTTGCCCATAGCTGATCGGCTCAAACCAAGAAAGTCAATAGGCGGCTTCCACTAGGAGTTGAACTTGGGACCTCTTGATAGATTTCATTTTGAAAGTATGTTACATTGTGTTTGGTATGCTAGAATTACATGTATGAATTGAAATGAACCTTGGAAAGGAATGGAAAAGGGACTGAATGGACGTTAATTCAATCCAAAGAATAACTTTAATTTGTCTTAGCTTTGAGTGTAGGCCCTGTGGAGAAGAGCTATGTGAATATGGTGTTTCAATTCATGTATTCCTTTTTGACAGATTGTCCCTGCTGCAATTCTGGCTGTGTTTGTCCACCCACACACATCTCATTTACAAATCCACCGAATGCTGTGGGCACTTTGTGTGTACTTAGAAACTGTGGCAGTGCTGCCTCAGCTTCGCATGATGCAGAAGGCAAAGGTCTATACCCATTTCATCGAGTATTCGTTTAGGAACATTTTTTCATATAGCAGAGAGCATTTAATTGTCTCTGTGTTCTTGTTTTGCTCAGATGATTGAACCATTCACAGCCCATTATGTGTTTGCATTGGGCATTTCAAGGTTCCTTGAATGTGCTCATTGGATCATTCAGGTTAGTTTCTTTGGCTCATTTTAAGCTCAAATCATTTGAGATGTCATTTTAATTCCACCATTACTATGCAGGTATATGAGTCTGGTGGCAAATATTTGTATTTGGCTGGAAGGGGATATCTGTGGATACCAGGTGTTTTTGTAGCAGAAATGGTTCAGTCCTTCATTTTAGCAGACTTTTGCTATTACTATGTTAAGAGGTGAGCTAACTACTGCATTATATTTTCAATGGCTTAGCTTCTTGAAGTCATCTATAGGTTTTTGCTTTACTAGTTCACATATGTTCTTCTTTATCTTTTGTGATTGCAGTGTCATGCGTGGTCAACTTCTTGTCACCCTCCGATCACCGGTCTAGATTTGTAATTTCTCGGTGTTTGTGTTTGTAACTGTAATATTTTCTGGGTTTTTAAGTTATACATACATGTCTGTGTGTTTGCTTCAGGCACACATTTTGGCTGGAAGTGTTATTTGTAGAGAGCCTTTTGCTTTTCTTGTCTGCTTCGTGTGTGTGTATGTTTTTTTTTTCCTCCTTTATGTTAATTTGTTAATTTTTTAGGGGTAAAAAACAATTATAGTTGATAAATAAAAATGTTAGTATAAAACTGATCATGTGGGTGGAGCATAATTTTTCGAATTTAAAATGCCATTAGTTTGATAATTAATACCTTCTCGATCAAGTTTGTTACACATGATTTGTGTTCAAGAAAAATTTGAATGGAAGTTGGCGCGCACAATTCTGTGACATTCTCTGAAGGAGAGCTACAAAGATATTAACTGTATACAATGTGATTTTTTTAATTTTTAGTAGGAGTATACAATGTGGTTCTTCCCTGTCTATATAACACACAAAAATTTGACAAAAAATCTCAAATGGTTGGAAATGTTCTAAATCAAGTAAAAGTAACCTATAAATATGAATTCTTCGTAAAATTTATTTCAATTTCAATTACTATTTATAGTTCAATAATTAATTCTTTTTTTGCTATGTTAAACTAGTTTTTATGTCTTTAAAACTATATTTATTTTGCGTTTCCATTTATGGTGGTTTACTTTCTCCTTCCTAATATAGAAAGCGTCATTATAATGATTATAAGTACAAATTGAAATTGGTTCTTTCAATTTGTTAGCACAATATTATTATGATTTATGTTCTTACATTTAAAAAAAAAAAATTGATATTGTACATTTGTACGGACCGACCCTAACCGTGGTAAGCCATAGATGATTAGATGCTAATGGCGGTTATATAGGGAGTATAAAAATGATTCTCTACTAAACGCCTCCTACTCGTACTCCAAAGATCTCTCTGCACCTTCTTCTAGTTCTACACAGCATCAAGATTCAAAACCCTAGGCACCCACCGTCCACACGCCAGTCTCCATTTCCACCTCTCTCGAGCTCCGAGTACAGATTAGAGAGAGAGAGAGGGAGGGAGGGAGATAGTTGAAGAGAGGAGATAGAAAGTAGCAAGACCTCTCTCTCTCTCTCGCTGGTCGGATTTGATTCCAGGTACGCACAGATGACTCCGATATACTTTGCATTTTCGCGCAATCGTGTATGTGTCCATATTATGCGGTTTAGAGTGCGTTATTACTGCTAGATCCTGTGGATATGGAATTAAGCTCATCTCGTTCTATACAACTAGGTTTTTGGTAATAGGCGATGGCGGCAGCAGATGTGGCGGCAGCGGATGTGGCGGCGCAACAACCTGTTTCTGCTCAAGTTGTACGTTCTTCTGCTTACAATATGTGTGTGTGTAGAGAGAGAGATGAAATTTCTATCTCATTGATGCTTGATATCGAATGTTTTCATGCTTTTGTGAACAACAGGTGGGCAATGCGTTTGTGCAGCAGTATTATCATATACTGCACCACTCTCCTGAGCTTGTTTACAGGTTTTATCAGGATACAAGCAAGCTTGGTCGACCTGAGGAAGATGGATCTATGAGTATCACTACCACAATGCAAGTAAGTCTTCTCTATATTTGATCCATGCTAATGCTTGTTTTCTTCTTGTTTTGTTTTGTTATTATTATTATTATTATTATTATTATTATTATTATTATTATTATTATTATTATTGTTGGGTAACACAGAGTCAGAGCTACATCTGTTCAAGTTTGTAATCCTATTGTCTCCTGTGGTTAGTTATCTTGCTGAAATTACCGAATATTTTTGTGGTTGTATATGAAAATTTTGCAGGAAATCAATGACAAGATAGTATCTCTCAAGTATTCAGACTTCAGTGCAGAAATTAAGTCTGTTGATTCCCAGGAGTCCTTCAATGGAGGTGTATCTGTCCTTGTTACTGGATATCTGACTGGAAAGGACAACATGATCCGGAATTTCTCGCAGTCTTTCTTCCTTGCACCACAAGACCGAGGGTACTTCGTTTTGAATGACATGCTTCGCTATGTGGAATTTGCCAATCAGGATAATACAATTCATGCTCCAGTGGCTGATACTGTCGTTCCTGTTACTGTAGAGCAAGGTAATTGAAATAATTAGTTAATTATTATCTTTATCGTCATATATATATGTGTGTGTGTGTGTGTATATATATATATATATATATATATATATATATATATATATATATATATATATATATATATATATATATATATATATATATATATATATATATATATAGTTTTTATGCCAAATATTGCGATTGAGTATAGCTATCACTTCCCACATTTTGCTTACAGATCCTCCTTCAGTGCAAGAGAATCTCATTTTAGAGGAAAGCACACCATCAGTAGAGGAAGTCAATGGGGAAGAAGTGCTCAACCCACCTGAGAATGGAGATGTCCCAGTTGTTGAAGAGGAAGAGCCCGTGGCTGAGGTGGTTAATGAACCTCAAGAGGTTTCACAAATGGTAGTTGAGTCCAACACCAAAATTGAAGAAGTGCCTAAGAAATCTTATGCTAAAATTGAAGAAGCGCCTAAGAAATCTTATGCTAAAATTGAAGAAGTGCCTAAGAAATCTTATGCTAAAATTGTAAGTTACCATTGGCAAGCTTCATATATCTATTCTCATCTCTTTTGGCGGTATTCCTGTAGAGCTTAGTTGAGTATCATGGAAAGGTTTTATGTTAAGCTTAGGGTTGCACTGATGTGGAATGCTGGTGGGGGGTGGGGTGTACTTTGCACTGTCCAACTGTATTTCAATATGGAGACTTCAGTTGGGTTTCCTATTCTTCTCCATACAGGAGGGCTGTTCTCCCATTGATGAGACTAGTTTTCACCATTTGGGTGTCTTCACACAGGAGAGGTTTTCTTCATTTGTGTTATAACAATACACTATTTTCAGACCTACATGGATTGCTTTTAGGACTTAGTAAGAATCGATCGGTACAGATGTATAGTTTGGAGTTTATAAAATAGATTGGAGTATCATGATTTACTTTTACTGAAAATTCCCTTAGGACTGATTTTATCCATGCACCTTAGGCTAAACTATACTTCTTTGTGATCATTTAAATGATACAAGACTTCATCACCCAAATCCATTTTGTTGATGTTGGTTTCTGGAAAAAATGGTCTAGTACTCGAGTGTGTGTGATTCCTTGACAGACATGCATTGAATCATCCGTTTCAAATGTCTGTTTAATGTTGTTTCAGGTCAGTGAGCTCAAGGAAAGTGCTGCTACTTTCTCCCTTCCTGCGCCTGCTATACGGAAACCTGTGGTGAAGAATGCAGAAAAAGTGAATCAACCGTCAGCAGTTGCAGCTGATATTCTTGACAGTTCAGCACCTGTTGATAACGTGAATAACCAGGAGGAAGAAGGCATGCCATAGTGATCCTTAATTTATTCGATTTCCATTTATAATTTCAAGACAGTCCCACCCCTTTCATTATATTTTCCTCAATGAATGATTTTTAGAAGTTTTTGTTTTCTTGGAACAGCCGATGGGTATTCCATTTACATAAAAGGCCTGCCTTTAAGTGCAACCGTGTCATTACTAGCTGAAGAGTTCAAGAAATTTGGACCTATCAAGGATGGAGGCATTCAAGTCAGAAGTAACAGAGTATGTAATTGTTGGCTTGTTTATGTTTTTTTTTTCCCACTATTTTTCCCTGTACTATAATCACCTGTCATTATGTATAGCAACAGGGATTTTGCTTTGGCTTTGTGGAATTTGAGGAGGCAAGTGCTGTGCAAAAAGCAATTGAGGTGTGCCCACTTCTTCCTGAATTCTTATAGCACTTTCCTCATTTATGTTTTCAATTAAACAAGATGACCATTATGGCCTTTTCTGTTGAATGTTTATGACATTTGTGATTTTTCATTTGTGTATCCTTCCTCTCATCTCATCAATAATTTTGCACTCTCTTGAATTTATTTTACCATCCATACTATCTATGAGAAGCCTGTTAATTTTAACTTGTATACATATTAGGCTTCTCCTGTAGCAGTTGGTGGACGCCAAGTTGTTGTTGAGGAGAAGAGGTCTACAACTAATCCACGAGGTAAGTTAACCCTTGAATCTTATACTTATATATGAGCTCCTTGTATGAATAATTTACAGGCATCATTATCATAGTATATTAGTATGAAGCAAGGCCGCCAAGGCACAATGATAACATATATGCATAATTTCTGGGGCATCATTATCTATTTACTGTGCATGTAAACCATGGTAGCAATTGTGAAAAAGATTTGCTTGGCCTTTGTTTTTTTCTATCTGTTATGGTAGTTGGTACAATATTTGAGTCTTATAAGGTTCTGTCCAACCTTAGTTTTAGAATGCAATTCATTTGTTAACATCACAATTTGGAAAATTCTGCCATCAGAATGATTGTTATGTAGGTAATGTCATGTTTTTGATTGCCCATTTTCAATTTTGAAACCAAGAACTATATTATCTAACTGTTGTATGGTAGTTAGAAAGAACCCAAACCCTTGCCCAACCCTGGGAAAGCATTATGAATATGTAATATTTATATGCATTTGTTTGTTCAATCATGAATGAATGAGCATTTAATTGTGTGGTCTAATTCATACTGTTTATATCTTTGTGAGAACATCTAATGTTCTAGTCATTAGACTTGGCACGTATACTTATGTTTCTTGTGGAATGAAAACGACATTTTTCTAATAGGTAACAATAGAAGATTCTTGTCGGGAAGGGGCTCTGGATTCAGAAGTGAAGGAGTCAGGGGGCGAGGAAATTATGGAGGTGGCAGGGGATACAACAGGGGAGAGTTTAACAGCAGGAATGAATTCAGCAACAGGGTTGGTAATCGTGGAGGATCATCAAACCGTGGAGGTGATGGGTATCAAAGGGCTGACCATGCTGGAAACAATGGTGGTCGTGTGAATCGTGTTGGTGGAATGCCTCCTTACGGAACTGCTAAGGACATGGCACCAAGGGTATCTGCTACTGCTTGAAAACATTTAACATGGGGATTGAGAGATGATTTAGTAGGTTTTCATTTTTTGAATCACAAATTGAGGGAGTGGATGAATTCATTGTCAGGTACTACGGAGTTTCATGAGAGTTCTTTTTTTTTTTTTTTTTTTTTTTTTTTTTTTTTTTGTAGCTTTCCCCTTTCCATTTTTCCTCCATTATGGGGGTATTATAGGGATAGCAATTGAGGTGAAGCAACTATTGTTAATGTTGCAGTTGAGATGGGTATAGGTAATATTACAATTGTTGGATTATTTTCTTTTATAGTGTTAAGTGTGTTTACTTTCTGAAAATTTTAAAAATTCCTTTGTTTTAAATTTTGTTCTAACATCTCAATGTGTTGTAGTTCTCTTTCACCTATGATTATAGTAGTGCATGGTTTGTGATGTGGCCCATTTTGTTAGGTAATATTACCTGCCGGCCCTCTTAAAAGATGTGCGTTGAAAAAATTCAATTGTTATACCATGGACCAAGATTCATATATATTGTATTGGGAACTCTGATACAAAAATTTTATACTTTCAGTTAACACATTTTGTATTTATAGTTAATAATTTCTGTCCATGTAAACAAATAACTTGAGAATTGTTAATAAATAATATGATAGTTACATGTACAAAAATTATCAATTGCAGGTACATATTGTGTCTACTATAAATACAGAATTATATAATAACTACAATTACAAAAATTATCAACTGCAAGTACAAAAAAATTATGTAATCTATAAATACAGAATTTGAAAATTATTTTTGGACTAGAGCCTACGATGCAAGGTATACCATAGTCCATGGTATAATTTGCCAAAAAAATTACCAAGTATGTAAATTCGGAATTTATTTGTAAGTGGATTATCCCATTCCTTTACAGAACTGGGTCATGAATCAAATAATGGCAAATATAGAATTGGTTTCACCCCTCTAGAAGCAATCGTTATACCGTGGACCAGGGTCCACAGCTGACAGCACAATGCACTGTGGACCCTCCTAGTCCACGATATAATTTGCCCTCTAGAAGTAATGTGACTTGTTGCAAACCAACCATCCACTATTGTTTTCATAAAAAAAACACCCACTATTCAATTCATATAAATCCCATGCTCAACAAACAATCCAGACTATCACGGTGGAGTGTGGACCCTAATCCACGATATAATTTGCCCTCTAGAAGTAATGTGACTTGTTGCAAACCAACCATCCACTATTGTTTAAAAAAAAAAAAAAAAAAAAAAAACAAACAAACAAAACCATCCACTATTCAAATTCATATAAATCCCATGCTCAACAAACAATCCAGACTATCACGTCACAGTGGGAGAACTTCAATTCTCCTGTGATTATGGTCATTATTATACAGACAAAAAGTCAACAAGAACTTCAACTCCCCTGTGATTATGTCATTATTATACAAACAAAAAAGTCAACAAGAACAATCCCAAGAGAGATTCTTCTATTCTCCTGTGATTACGGCTCATTATACAATGAAAAGTCAACAAGGGATGTAGTTCTACTAGTATTTCATAGGTATGATAACACAACTAACTCCCCACATCTGATAGAAAACATGGTTCAATGGGCATGGACCTGTCTTTGGTTGAGGGCTTTTTCATACTTGTAATTGAGTTACAAGTTGATTCATACAGAAGAAAAAGTGTGATGACCATAACACACATGGGCCTTCCATTCAAAAATATATATCAAACTTAGACATTATATATTTTTGAATGAAAAAACCATGTGAATCAAGACCAATCACGTTACTCTTTCTCTATATGCAAGTTTAACCTGGGAAACACACTCCTGATGGCAGTTTCCATGTCCTATTGGGGGTGGTCAGCCAACTCACAGTTCTGCTAACACTACATGGGCATGTTACAAATGCAAATGCATGAAATCACTATTCATTTAGATTTCATGTCACATATTGACCCTATTTGGTAAAATAGTTTAGCCTATCAGCCAATTTTGACTTATTTAACCAATATTAATTGTTTGACTTGGTTAAAAAATCAATATAAGTGTTTGGTTAATTAGCTTTTTGTAACATTTCCAAAATACTAAAATTCAAAAAGCTGGTCAAAGCAACTTTTTCAATTAACTTTTTGAGAAAAGAAATTATACCAAACACCTATCACCTATCAGCTAACAGCTAATTTACCAAACACTTTCCTACCATCAACAATGTTATCAACTAGTTATACCCTCTAATTAACCCAATCAACTAACCGCTAACAGCTATCAGCTAACAGCCATTTACCAAACAGGGGTCTTCTAAACACAAAGTGATATACCAAAAAGCAAGTGCATGTCTGATGTCTCCTCCAGTGTGCTTAGTTACACCTCACTAGGCTGCCGGATTCCATGGTGGAAGTGCTAAGGAATAACAGATAACATGAAGGGAAAATAAATGCCTTAAAATACTATGGCAGTCAAACTAGTTGAGGTTCCAATTACAGGACAACATACCATAAATAGGAATATCCTAACAAGGGTTTGGGGCAGCTAAGGAAGAGAATGATGCCAATTGCCAAACAAGAACCCAATCATCACATACAGCCTTGCTCTGATAATAGACCTCATCCAATCTTAACTTTTGTTCCAAAGTTTTTATTCTCAAATTCCCAAACATCGTCTTATCATCATCCTTTCTCTAATGAGAAATATTTTTCTTTCTAACAATCTTCCAATTCACAGTAAAACATGTTACAACTACTCACCAGGAAAGAAGCTTTTTCCATGCAGACTTGATAAATTTCAGAGAAACAGTTCTTCTGGAAGCTATCTAACTAGTGCATTTGAATGGGCGGAAAGAATAGAAGGAAAATGGAGGGTAAAGAAAACAAGGGGAGAAAATAATCCCCCATTCAATCAAATATTTTCCTCCCAAAAATATAAGAAAATCAAGAGAAAGTCACCATTCCTTTCTCACTACACATTATACACATGTACCCTATCACATCTCTTCATCCCCTCACTTCCTACCTATCCAAACACAACATAAAGGCTTCAAAAAGCTTCAACAATAAGAAATGCTAATATCCCCAAATTCTGTGGTGCTTTCTAGTTAGCTCTTTACTAGTGGCAGAAAACTGCAAATTTGAAAGCAACATTCTGATTTGAACATGCATCAGAATAGTAGTTATGGGTATATGCATCATTCTAAGCCAGCAACTTGAGTCCAGCTTCAACAACAAAATAACAGCATAAAAGTGTAGGCTGAAGAAAACAGTGCTTATTATGTACTACACCACTAAAGCAGGAAAGAGAACAATGCATTAGCATCAACCCCTTATATATTTAGCACAAGATAGCACACCTAACAGCATTTGAATTGTGAAAACTTAAACCTCACTGAGCAGCTTTATGCATAATTGAAGTTTAGCCATAAACTGAGATAACAACTATAAACAATTGGAGATTAAAAATTTTAAACTAATCCAGAAATTAAATATGCTAAAACTAAGGTTCACATTAAAGCTTCTATGATGTGGAATGAGTACTAACTTTATGTGTAAGGGGAGCTGATGAGACTCATGGAGAGTACTTGAAGGAATCCTCTCAGCAAAGCTTCAACTATTACCATCACTTAAAGGCCAAAATTACAGGCCTGGATGTACTCATTCTCGTAATCAACATATTTTGTCCAAAGTGGCCGAAACTGGGCAATGGCAATATCAAGCCATGGCTTCATATTCCCATTGAAGTGGACAACTGCAGCATTGTTTATTTCATCCGTGCTTATACTTGGATTGTAGCCAAGCCCTAAAACATGCCAGGACTTATCCAGTGGCTTTGTTGTGGAGTAATATGTGATCAAACCAGGGGGTAGCGTTCCCAATTTCCACAAAGTTCGGTTTTCATTCTGCAAACATAGTTACTTCTTCAGCAATATTTCAAATGCAATATTCAAAACATAGTAGTATATAGGGAAGAAAAAAAAGAAAAAAAACTCAATTGTAATTCTTTAAAAAAAAAAAAAAGGAAGCATATACATGTACATACTGCAATCAATTATCATCTAAGCAGACAGAGAGGAGGGTGCAGCGAGAAGGGAGTGGAGAGTTTCTCTTTGGGGGTAGGGGAAGGGGGAGAGACAAGCACCTATATTGCTTAGGCAGATTTAGAGTCACATACACAGGGATGTATATAATAAATACTGCAGAAAAATGATACATACAAACTAAAAGTGCCCAGGACCATAACATTAGTAACCTATTAAATAAATCATTTCTTACCAAAGCCTGCCAGTAATGGTATTCTTCTGTGCACTTCTCCTTGCGCCAAGCATCCAAGTCAAAGAAGTTCATGCCATAGGCCCATGCACAAGCTTTAGGGTTAAACTTCCGTCTGATCAAAGGATGAGAGAAATTCATGTATTGCGCATATCGATGGAATGAGCCAAAACAAGTTTCAACTGCTCCATTCACTTTACCATCCATATCTATCTTCCAAAGGCCAGTCAAATCCCTTTGAACAACTATATCATCATCCAAGAACAATATCCTGTGCAATTTTGGATACATTTCAGGCAAGTAGAACCTAAGATGATTTAATATTGATAAATACTTTGGATTCCTGAATTTCATATTTGTTGTGTCCTTTGTTGCATTCTCAAGCTTATTCTCAAAGTAAAACTTCTGTAGATTAGCAGATTCAAGCTGCCGAAGAACTGGGACATATGAAGAGTTCAAGAACTTGTAATCCTCAACAGCCTTCACTTCAATGTGAGCCCCATTATAATCCCTCATCTTGAACATAACTTGCATAGCTCCAAGATTCATCTTATCAGTTACAACATGAAACACATGCTTTGATGGGTCATTTGAATTCTTCACAGCAGAATTCACCACAACTGAAGCTGCAACCACATTGTCAGAGAAAATTGCATAATGGTAAAGATTGGGATCCTCCAATTCAGGTGGAGTGTGCTTCCCTTCATCTGTGTACTTGTCTGGATGCGCAATCCGCTCTTCCATTAACCTCATAGTCACACAATGCAAGCTTTTGGGAATTGATTTTGCAGCAATCAAGCTTGAGAAAGCACCTTGCTTCTTTGCCTTCGTTAGCTGATCATTCACAGCAAAAATAGTATCCTTGAGCTTCTGAATCTTTAACTGATTATCAAAAGACTCCTTTGCCTCAGCAACAACTTGACGCGTGACTTTGATTCTTTCTTTCACCTCCTTCTCAAACTGCCGAAGCACTGATTCATCAAGTGAGTTGGAATCCAACTCAAACAGTGCTCTATATGCAGGCTTTGAGATCAAATCTGTATAGTTTCGTGACAACTCTGCAAAGACTCGAACAAGTTTTGAGTTTTCAAGCTTCA